ACAAACAAAATTATATACATAGGGCACGCTGGGTAGTTAAAATCATAAAAACAGTAGATCGGGGAATCCCCAAAGACGAGACGTAATATTAAGGCAGTGGTGCCAAGCCCGTCGCGGGCCGATGGATTATAGCTACATTCATTTAGGAACGCAAGCGTTTTCCTCAAATATGTAGCGTTTTAAAAAATAAACATTATTTATCATTATATTTATTATTTATTTTTCTTTCTAGTATACCTAGGTTATATCAGCACTTAATGAATTTATTGCTGAACGGCGCTTAAAAACAATTTTTTTGAGGCGCATGGCCCTATAAGCCGGGGCCCCGGGGCACTGCCCCGGTTTGCCCTAGGATAGCTACGCCCCTGTTACAAGTATAGATCGTTCCTCAAACGCAACTGAAACGTCAAGGAATGACAATTAAATCCGAATTACCGAAATCTAATAAATTACCTTATGGCTACCTCGAGTAAGGCTATGGATTATTACTAAACAAAACAACGCCGTACGCTATATGAACTATACGAACAATTACCCCAATTTAGCATGCACTCCAATCAAACCCGATAAAACCAAGAGAGGCCCTCGCGCTACCGGTGGCAATGAACTTTTTTGTACTTTGCGCTTTGCCGAAAAATGCAGTCGCTGTTTATTTCCTGCTTTGGGATTAGTTCGGCGATACGTGAAATTTTTCACAGCGGGCTATTCGGCCGGCCGGTGCGAATTATTCAATGGCACATAACCCGTGCGCCAGTGATCAAAAAGGATCAGTCTTTATTAGATTATTTGACGTTAATGTGAAATGCAAATGTGACCTAGTGGTTTCAGCACTGACCTGTAGTTTTTTGAGGGCTTACTAGTTATCTAAACTCAAATACGCGAAATCATAAAATCAAGGAGTGTAACTCGAGCGCCCTACAATGCGTAAATTGCCTGAACCATAACAAGGTAGACAAGAAGATCTACCAGTTGATCATTCGGCTAATTTTCCAAACTGTCCTGTGTTTCTCAATTAAGTTCAAACTCTAAAAGAAAGGGTGGATTATGGCTAACACTATAAAAAGTGTCTTGAAACTATGTCACTTAAATGTGCGTTCTCTAACAGCTCACTTTAATGATTTTGCCTCTCTTGTTCAATATAAGTTTGATGTTGTAGCAGTCACTGAAACATGGCTGCATTCCAGTATTGACAGCACTGTAGTCAATATACTTGGGTATAATTTCTTCCGTAAGGACCGTGGGAGCAGAGGGAGTGGCATCGGTCTCTATGTTAAATTAGATATTAGCACTAATCTTATCCCAGTTGAGCTCGATGACTTTATAAATCCTCTTGAAATATTATGCTATAAATTTAAACTGCACGGGTCCAGTATGTTAATTGTTGTTATATATAGGCCACCACATTGCTCTATACATCAAGCCATCCAGTGTTTAGAAAATCTTATCTCATTTTTCACTCCCCAATATGACAACATTATATTCTTGGGCGATATGAATGTCGACTTGCTTGCCCCTAACAACATCCTCAGCAGCTGCTTTGATTCATTCAATCTCATTCAAGTCATTGATGAGCCTACACGTGTTACAGCCTTCAGTTCCACATTACTTGATCCAATATTTGTTAGTGACAATACTATCGTCAAAAGGTCAGGGACACTCAATATTTCCGTTTGTTATAAAAAAATAGAGCCTAAATTTGTAACATATAGAAATCTTAATAGCATTGATATTCAAATTTTTAAGACGCAGATTGCATCAATGCAGCTTAATGACATTTATTTCGTGAATGATGTGGATATTAAAGTCTCTATTTTTACTGGCCGTCTTCTTTATATGTTCGATCTCTACGCTCCGCTACGCACAGTACGTGTCACAAAACCTGCTGCACCCTGGCTCACTCCTAACTTGAAAATGATTTTTCAACTCAGAGATGAGGCATTCGCTGTCTATCAGCATAACAGATCTGATCAGAATTGGGCCATCTACAAAGATTTGAGAAATTATGCCCTTGCATCGCTTAGAAGATAGAAAAAAGCATATATGTTATGTCACGTTTCCGGAATCTTAACTCTAGTCAAGCTTGGAAACACCTGAGGAGGATGAATGTGGTAGCCCAGAAACATGTTGCGATACCTCCCAGTCTCCTTGAGCCTAACATTTTAAATAATTATTTTCTTTCAATTTTCCAGACAGCTGCAGCTGATCCAAATTTGATTGATAGTGTCTCTAACTCTTATAGCGATAGACGCCATACACCGGATGCACCTCTGTTTGCTTTTAAACTCCTTACTCAGCAAGACATCGTCAATATAATCTCTCACATTAAGTCTACGGCATGTGGCTCTGATGTTCTAACTTTAAATATGGTTTGCTTATGTTTGCCTGATACCATAGACCATATAACTCACATTATTAATGTCTGTCTCGAACCAGGTTACTTTCCTGCCAGTTGGAAAAATGGTATTATTATTCCAATAGCTAAAACTAATCATCCAGAACAATATTCGGATCTCAGGCCAATTACCTTATTATGCTTTCTATCAAAAATACTCGAAAGAGCTGTCTACACACAACTAGTGGACTTTTTCGAACAAAATCACTGATTTCCTCTACATTAGTCAGGTTTCAGAGCTGGTTACAGCACTACTTCGTCTTTATTACATCTTACTGATTCCATCATTCACAATTTAGACAATCACATCAACACCGTCTTGGTACTGTTAGATTTCTCGAACGCCTTTGATATGGTCAATCAACAGATACTACTGAGTAAGTTATCTCATTATGGAATGTCAGATATAGTTCTAAGGTTCTTTGAGTCATACTTGCTAAATCGTCAACAAACAGTGAAAACTGACCAGGGAATATCCTCCTCTGAGCCAGTTCCTTCAGGAGTTCCTCAGGGCTCAGTATTAGGTCCCTTACTATATCTGATTTATACGATCGATCTGCAAGACTGTTTAGTCCACTGTAGTATGCAAACTTATGCAGATGATACTCAGTTCGTGTTTGGTTTCGATCCATCAAAGGTTGATGAAGTTTCTTTTAAAGTTAATTTAGATTTGGCTAACATCGGTGATTACTGTAACAAACACTGCTTGAAGATCAATCCCAATAAAACTACTGTACTGTTCGAAGAACTCCTACCGTGAAATGAAGCAGAGGATTTGTGTTTTTTTGGATGAGACACTCATCCATTTTGTGGATTACGCCAAGAATGTCGGTGTTACCCTTGATTTAAATATGAGATTCGATCGGCATGTCTCTTTCTTATCTAGAGTAACGTATTTGCGTTTGAAACTCCTCTATTCTAATCGATACATCTTGAATTTTAAAACCCGATAAAAGCTCACTGAAAGTCTTGTGTTGTCTGTCATTTCTTACTCTCTTGTTCTGTATTACCCATGTTTAGACTACGTCCACAAAAGGAAACTCGAGAAAATTCAGAACAGCTGTTGTAGGTTTATTTTTGGATTGCGCAAGTTTAGTCACGTCTCAGATAAAATCAAAGAACTCAACTGGTTGCGAATTGATAAGTTATTTTTATATCTTTTGACCGCATAAAGTTCTACTATCTCACAGACCAGCTAACCTCACTAGCAAATTAGTTCACCGAGGTAGTTTTGTTACCAGAGCTCTTAGATTTAATGCTAATTTTAACATGCCTCCTCACAATACCTCGGTCTTTGAAAGAAGTTACACCTATAATGCTGTCAAGCATTACAATGCAGTCAACAGTAGCAATCGATCCAAACAGGTTGTTTCTTTTAAGAAATTAATGAAAAGTCAGCTCCTGGAGTCCATTTAGTTCAGTTTTTCTTGTGCTCATGTGATTTTTTTTTTATTTTTTTTTGTTTGACTATTTTCTACTATTTTTGTTTCAAATTTAAAACTCTCGCAATACTATCTGCATTTGTCTTGTGCAATCAATGTTGTCATTCTTATGAATTGTATATTTTTTTTTGTATGTTATTATTTTGCTTATGTGTTTAAGTATTATTTTTTCCTGTTGGCATTATTATTATTATTATTAAATAGATGCTGGAGATATAATGACTAGCAACAACCTCGTCTCAAACCAAACAGCTAGATAATACCCATCATAATATAAAAAAATATTGGTGTCGAGGTTTTGTTGTTTTGCATTTTTCTTTTACAAATCAACACCACTTTTTACCAAAAATTAGTGCTAGATTGACTCCTTTCCTATCCTATCCTGGGTCGATTATCTTCCATGGCCGGGCATATTAAGCCTACCAGGGGGTGCGAAAACTCCCTGTGCGAAACGCAAATGTAAAATTCAAAATTGATTTTCAAAAGTATCGTCCGAGAATGTGCAAACACATCGATAAAACTCCAGGAAAGACGTGGGTTAGAGTGACCAGGGAATCTTGCATTTTACTGTACAGATTTTATTGCATCAGTAAAGGTGGCTACAGACACAACTGCAAGCTTGTCCAGCATGCTCATTCAAGCTTTTTGTACAAGTATGCTCAAATCGCCTTCGGCACCATACGTACAAGTATGCTTGATAAAAGGAGAGGTAGTTTAATGAAATATGTCGAGCTCGGACGACGATGCGCTCGCTTTGATCGCTTTTGTTCTTGTAAAGAAAAAAAATCCAAAATGAAAAAGCGTGCGGTGTGGTGTAAAGAATGGTTGATGAAAAGGAAAACCTATTCTCACATTAACTTACTAAGTGAGCTGAAAATATATCCGCGTGACTGGCACAATTATCTTAGAATGGACGAAGAGACCTATTTGAACGTTTTGTCTCTTGTATCACCTTTGATTCAAAAGCAGGATACGATCATGAGAGAAGCCATAACACCACATGAAAGATTAACGGCAACATTACGATTTCTTGCAACCGGGAGGAGTTATGAAAACCTGAAGTATTCAACTATTATTTCACCACAAGCATTAAATTATATAGTTCCTGAAACCTGCCATGTCATTTACAAGGTGTTAAGAAGCAGGTATTTGAAGGTGAGTAATAGGACTATTTAAACTAAGTTATTTATTATTTTTTTGACGAAAAGATTTACAAAAAGTAGGTACATGAGCATAATAAACTATTACAAAATAACATTAAGCATCGCTAAAATTTGAAATATAGGACGCGATAGAATGATTGGAATTATCATTGGAGGTTACTGGAGAAAGAGTTTCATAATGTACCTGAGATTGAGGAAAAGTTGAGGGGAAATGGGAGTAATTGGTATTTAATTGTTGAGGTGAAGGACAATCTGTAGAATATGTATTGTTAGTTTCACCACAAATGTGATGGGACGGAGTCAACTGAGCCATTTCTGCTATGAATAATGTATCGTTAATCATTTTTTCTGCCAACAATCTCTGAATATTGTTTGTTATGTCTCTCATTTTCAGAGCGACGTTTTTCCCAAAAATGTCATGTCTATCTTCATTTAAGGTTTTTAAAGTGGCCTTCAATTGCGTCCAACACAGAATCACATTTGTCAATTATGCGTTTAGGTGGTCGGGAAATGGTGCTTTTTTTTTGGGGGTGGATTGTGTGGCCTCAGTTGTTTGACAGCCAGTATCATCATGTGTTGTTGACTCATCCTCCTCAATGGGTTGGTCTAAACTTTCTATAGAATTTTCAGTTGGTTGGGCTTCAACTTCTTCCTGAAAATAATATTTAGCAAATATAAATACATATAACATCTACTATTAGATATAATGTAGTTGTAATTATTTTGTACAAAATATCTCTGTATTGTTTGATTAATTTATTTCCAGGTTCCACAAACTGAAAACGACTGGATTGCTATAGCAAAGGATTTCGAAAAGAGATGGAATTTCCCTCATTGTCTTGGCAGCCTAGATGGAAAACATATCGATATAATTCCTCCAGCCAACAGTGGATCTTTTTTTCAATTACAAACATAGACACAGTTTAGTTCTACTTGTCATAACAGATGCAAATTATAAATTTATTTTATTTGATTTCGGTTCAAATGGCAGAGTATCAGATGGGGGTGTCCTTCAGAATACAGAATTTTTTAGAAGACTTCAGGCCAAATTATTAAACATTCCCGGAGAAAAAGAAGTTGCAAATGAGTCACGAAAGCTACCGTTTGTTTTTGTCGCAGATGATGCTTTTCCTTTGAGGCCTGACATGCTGAAACCATACAGAGTGATTTAACTTGTATTGAAAAAAAAATTTACAACTACCGATTATCGAGAGCAACGTCTTTGGGATTATGGCAGCACGCTTTAGAATTTTTCACACCTCTATCAATTTAGAGTTATATCACATTGAGGAAATATTGAAAGCAACATGTGTTTTACACAATTATTTAATGTCGACAGTAAAAGAAATTTATGCTCCACCGGACTCTTTTCACTTAGAGGACATAGAAAGTGGTATGATTCGCGCTGGCTTGACCTCTGAAAGTTCTAACATGTCATCATTACAAAGGTCCCATATGACAGGAAATACGCCATTTAATGCTAAACAGGTTAGAGAAGAATTCAGGAATTACTTTTCCAATAAAGGAGCAGTACCTTGGCAACACAACTTTATACATTAATAAAATAATATGGTACATTAAGTGTGTGTGGACTTTTTATGCAAATAAATAAACTACTTATGTATAAATATGAAAAACAATAAAACTTACCTCTGTCTCGTTCAAGTTAGATACTGATTTTCTAGGTGTTTCTTGATCTCCTAAAAAGTGAAACAGGTGGTAGTAACAGAGTGTGGGCTCATAACGTTCATCTACACCCATTCCAGAGTGTTCTGCATCTTCAACTTTTTTCTTTTCTCTTCTATAATTAGTCCGGAAATAGTTTATCTTTTTAACAACTGCATTCTTGTCGGCATTAACATCAATTAACCTATATTTTTGTAATAATCTTCTGTACACTGCATCCCTCTTTGCTTTGTTATGATAATCTTTGGATTTAACGTGCCAAAGACATGGCTGATTTTGATATTCTCGAATAACATCTTCCAATAATTCACGGTTAACCTTTTTGAGATCACTAGTCATGACGAAAATTACTCAAATAATACTACGTACGACCAGTCACGATATTTTCAACACAACAGGAGAGACGCCAACTTGTGCAAACTTGACAATTTTGGGTACACACATACCGTTTTGCTTGCGCAAGCGCGCCTAATTCAAGCATGCATAATTAAAATCAATTCAATCCTCAAGCTGCTTGTACAATTACGAAGCTTGTACCACATTTCCCTACAAACATTCAAGCGTACTTGTACAAAAATATTGAACAAGCATGCTGGACAAGCATGCAATTGTGTCTGTAGCAACCTTAAGTTGTTGAAACCTATAGCATCATCACCATACCATTCTTCTGCAGACATCTAAAAAGAAAAACAATATACAATGATTCAGTTTTTATAACGCATGAGCTTAGTTTTGAATGACTTGTTAAAAGAAAGATTATGTAAGTGTATTACCTGTTCCTTCTTCATACAGGGTGACGGAAAAATAGATGCGGAGCCGGCCGGGGGAGATAGCACAAGCCAATCTGAGTCGATTTTACTATAGGAACTACTGGCCGAAGATTAGCAGTTTTCGAATTATACTAATTTTTAAGATTCTATAAAATTAACGCCCTTTATACGTTAACCAAGTCATAAAACTTGAAAATTGGGTATTTCATTTGATTGTTTTTTATCTTATAATAAAAATATTCTAAAATACGAATATTGATACTCAAATGCATACTATGGACGTTATCTCATGCAGTAAGCTTCAAAATAGTTCTACTTTTTTTTAAATCTTCGTTCATCTCAAAAACTCAATTTTAAAATATCTACGTTTTATTACCTTTTAAATGAAGTATCAAAATCACAAACCGCTTTAGAAATGACAAAGATATGAGTGAAAGAAACGGGTAGAGCCGCGAAGATCGGAATAGTGTGATAAGTAAGAATAGTCACCCCCGTCCCACCCTCGCTTCAATATGCTCTTGCGATTTTGTTGCGTTCGGATGTGTTAGTTTGCTGGCTGTTTTGATATTTCTAACGATTTGGCTCTTGTTGGACTTCCGTCTGTGATTCTTTTCCTGACGACTTAGATTGTACCCTGTTTTCTGTGAGTCCTTACGACTTGGCCGCTGTGTGACTTGATTGTTCGTTGATCTACCTATCGAAGAACAATGGCTGATGAACAAAGGACGCGGCCGTTCAGTTTCAAAGAATATGCCGATATCCTTTTTTACTATGGAGATGCCAGAGGCTATGCTGAAGAAGCTCGTCGTGAGTATGGGGAAATGTTTCCTAATCGTCGCCTACCTGACGCCCGCGTATTTAGGCAAACGTTCCGTCGGGTTCGAGAGCGCGGTACCGTCGTAAGATATCAAGGTAAGTTTGCATCATTGATAATTATTAACTCATCATTCAGTAAGGCCTATGTAGAGCCTTGGAGGTCTGTGGGCTGAACTGATGATACTGTAACATAGTTGTTTTGATATAGTTGATTGAACTTCTTAATTAAGAGCTTATTCATTTAATTTTAACACAAGCATCTACACGGCTCTGAAGAAGGAAACATCCACACGTTGTGTATCGTCTTTAGTAAATATTTTGCAAACTCTAGCTCATAGTCTTACCGCTATGTTTATTAGGTAACGATTTCCTCCAAAAAAACTGTTGTTATTTGTTTTTTCAGTTTGTTTCATGAGATGCATGTAGACCTCGACATGATGGGGAAGAAGAAGAAGAAATATTAAATATTTTCCAAAGAGACCCCTGCTCTCTCTACTCGCGCTGTGGCTCGACAGCTTGGACTATCCCAATGGCAAGTACCATTACACACCTGTGCACGTCATAGAGGAAGGAGATCCCATGAGGCGCATGCAATTTTGTCGTTTTATTTTAAACGCTGATGTTGAAGATAGCAATTATTTAAGAAAAATTCTATGGACCGACGAATCAAAATTTGATAAAGACGGCATAACAAGCTACCAAAACGCTCAGTATTGGCGTGAGCGTGCAGTGATATGAAGAGACCAAAAGGATCTCAAAGGCGATTTTGTCTGAATGTCTGGGTGGGCATTATAAATAACTGTTTGGTAGGACCACATTTCCTACCCGATAACTTAAATAGAGAAGCCTACAAAATTTTCTTAATAATTTCAGATACTTGAAGACGTGCCGCTTCTCACAAGACGCAGAATGATTTTTCAGCATGACGGGTGCCCAGCACATTTCAGACTAAGTGTTAGAAATTGGCAAAATGAGCAGCTACCGAATCGATGGATCGCTAGAGGCGGACCCATTCCATGGCCAGTACGCAGTCCCGATCTCACACCTATGGAGTTTTTTGTGTGGGGTTACATGAAAACTTTAGTATACTCTGATCAAAATCCTGTACCCACAATAGAAGACCTCAGAAACAGGATATTACATGCAGCACAAGAAATTCAAGCCTCTCTTAGGAATTCGGCGGTAGTAAAATCAGCTGTCATAAGAAGAGCCCGTGTGTGCATTAGAAATAGAGGGCGTCATATTGAAAATGTATTATAAAAATAAAAAAATGTAGTTTCAAACAAATTATGCTGCATTAAGATATGATTTTGTAAGTGTAGTATTTTTATTGCTTGGTCCATCCTCCTCTTATAATAGTAATATGTTTGCCAATCCTTAATCCATTTGTGACTTTTATACCTCATTTGAAAGGTAATGAACCGTAGACGTTTTCTAGATATTTTGCACGAAAAATTGGTATGCAACATTTTCTAGTAAACTGAAGCTTTTGAGAAGAACGAAGATTTTTTTAACAAAAATCGAACTATTTTGAAGCTTACTGCATGATATAACGTCAATAATGTACATTTGAGTATCAATTTTCGTATTTTTGGAATATTTTTATTGTAAAACCAAAAAAAAAAACAAATGAAACACCCAATTTTCAAGTTTTATGACTTGGTTAACGTATAAAGGACGATAATTTTATATAATCTCAAGAATTAGTATAATTCGAAAACGGCTAATTTTCGGACACTAGTTCCTATAATAAAATCGACTCAGATTGGCTTGTACTATCTCCCCCCACCGGCTCCGCATCTATTTTCCCTTCACCCTGTATATACTGTACTTACGTAGAACTCTATCTGTTCATCAACTCAGTAGAGCAGAAATCTGAGCTGATATTAAAGAAAATTACCAACCATCAATGTGTCAATTTCTGGCAAATTTGAACTTTCTGCTATCTAATCTAATGTCAATGAACGTTTTGTTTCAAATAAAACGAGAAAGTTTCTGTAGAAATATTGATGTCGGTTTTCTGTTAACCATTTGTATGACGTCACATCACGGCTGATAGTGTTTTCACCGTTCAGTATAAAATGAAAAATATGTTTTTTCAAATTGGACCTATATATTCATCTTGCGCTTTTAAAAATTGAATTCGATATATACTAAGTGACATATAAATCCGAACACCCAGTTTAAATGGTTTTATTTTAATAAAAGTTGGTGAATGTATTTATCTTACTGTAAATAACAAGTGAAAAAATGTTCAGCCTTATCAGTTGGGCATTCCGGTTTTTATACTGCTTTTTTTTAATTCACTAACGCTCTAAAAATGAATATTTCAGCCGCAGTAAAGAATCAACGTTGGCGGATTTTGGTTCTTGACATCCTTTACGATCGGTTACGATGCCTAGAGTACGGAGACCTGTACGATTTCGTCAACTTAGTGAGTTTGATAGGGGCCGTATAGCGGGACTTCGGGAAGCTGGACTTTCTTTTCGGGCAATTGCAGTTAGAGTGCAAAGAAGTGTAGACACTGTGGTTAGGTGTTGTCAGGCATGGCTTCGAGAAGGCCGTACGCAAAGGGCAAGGGGCACTGGACGCCGCCGTAGAACAATAGACCGTGAAGATCGCCGCCTAAGATTATTGGCCTTAAGGGACCGTTTCTCCACTACCAGGTCCATTGCAAATGAATGGTTTGCAGAATACGGAAGACCTATTGGCATGCGAAGTGTTTACCGACGAATGAGAAGTTTTGGCTTGTTTTCATACCGGCCACACTGGGTCCTCCCTTTAACTCGAGAACACCGACGTAATCGCCTTGAGTGGTGCAGACAACGGTCACTATGGGATCAGGAATGGAACAGTATTGTCTTTAGTGAAAAGTCTCGATTTTGTTTAGGCATGCACGATGGTCGTGCCAGGGTTAGAAGGCGACGTGGTGAAAGGAGAAATCCACAGTTTTTTTGTTGAAAGACATGTTCATCACACTGTTGGAGTTATGGTTTGGGGTGCTATACCTTATGGTTCCAGGACACCTTTAATCTTCATCAGAGGTAACATGAATGCGCAGCGTTATATCCACGAAGTTCTAGAATCCCATCTTTTACCCTATCTGACACCCTGGCAGATCCAACTTTCCAACAAGATAATGCCCGACCACATGTTGCAAGAGTCACAATAGACTTCTTTCAACATAATGATGTCACATTGTTACCATGGCCACCAAGATCTCCCAACGTATCCCCAATTGAGCACGTGTGGGATATGATGGGTAGGAGATTGCTCAATTTGCAACGTCCTCCTCGGAATCTAGAAGCACTTCGAGAGGAGTTGGTGGTTGCCTGGAATGAGATACCACAGGAGGACATTGACCACCTGCTCAGAAGCATGCCTAGGCGCGTTGGAGAATACGTAGCACATCAGGGTGCATCCATACATTATTAAAGGTCAAAGGGCTGTAAAGCAGTGCAATCATTTTGAAATTTTTATCATTTACTTATTATGCTTCATTAAGTACTTATACAAAATTTTATTAAAATAAAACCATTTAAACTGGGTGTTCGAATGTATATGTCACTTAGTATAATTTGTTTTCCTTAGACAACTACTGTAAAAAATACTCGTTTATTCTATGAAATTAGATATGCGTCAAGTAGCCGATTGTTATTTGGTGCAACATTGAATTTACGGAACCTAAAATGCATTTAGGAGATATCACGGAAAGTCCCTTATAAGTCGCAGAATATGATATATTTTGGCCAG